ATTGCAATAAGGTAATACCTCAGAACATACTTATCATGAATCCTCATATTCAGATTGGTTATTTAAAATAAGAACATCAAGCGATAGATATCATCCATTTCTATTATCTTTTATTACATTTCTTTAAAGTGCTATATGGTTTATTTCCATCATATATGCATTACAAATAATTTATCTTGTTTAAAAATATAATTACAATTAAAAAACTGCTTTTTCGGTCGCCATATTGATCTCTTCCACATTTTTTCTTTTGGCAACTAGCTTTTTGGGTTGTCCCTTTTTTTACTGAGAAACTGAACTGAACTGAATTGAGTTTCTGAGTCACCAGATCGTAAATTTTTCTTTCACCCAATCGGAAAAATTCAGTAAAATCAGTTTCTCAGTGAAAAAAGGGACAACCGCTTTTAACTTCTTACAAGCAAGAATAGCCTTTTCATTTATGATGCACTGTGCGGAAATGTTACGGTAAATGTGCAACAAATTGATAAAAGCGTGACAATGCTACATTTTACCGTAACATTGTCACATTTTTAGCATGACATTGTTACACATTTACGTAACATTTCCACACAGTGTGTAAAAGCTGAAAGACTGGAATGGAACGCTGGCAGATGTAGAACTGGTTGAAAATTTCTCTTCGATTAATTAGGTCGTCCATCATTCTATTCTTCCAATTTCTAATAAACGTCTAAGAATACAAGAGAAATTGTTTTATTTGTTTCTTTCTAACATGATTTGAGAATTAAATTCTGCCAGTAGAGTCTGATTTGTGAACATCTGCAATTTACATAATATATCTAGAAGTATATCTGGATGTTCAGATATTCAAGTTAGATATTTAGATATTCAGATGTTATAGAAATGGGGAAAAGGGAAGATGGGTGGGAGCGGCAAGGAAGGATGAGAGTGAGGCGCTTCCTGATATTCGCCAGCGTGAAAGAAAAGCGGAAGATATCTGAATATCTGAACATCTAGATATTATGTAATAAGTTTCTGCATACGCTATATGGCGAAATATACTTTATATTATATTCTGTATGTATAAGTTATACGACAACGATCTGTATGATTGAAAATTTGTGATTTTGTTATTTTCATTTTAAACGAGACATGCAAAAGAACAGTGTCGGTATACATAGTATGTACCATAACATCGATAACAAGAAGTGCATTAAACACTTTTTATTTTCTTGGTCGCATTTATTCACTATAGAGGCACAAGTCTATAATGGACGACAGAAATTTCCATTCTGAGTTCTAGCGTATCCTAACCATTTTTCTTTCGTTCCCCTGTAAAACGTAGACATGTTTCTGTTCTTCTGACAGAAACTTCTTTAGCCAATAGAAAAACTTTCTTTTTTCTTTTTTTTTATTATATGGCGTTTCATGTCACACGTCAACTTATAGTTTAACTGCATAGCACTGCAATCATTCAGATGGATGTTAATAACGACAAAAGGGAAGTGGTATTACTGACAGATTGAATCACACAACCTTGGATCATTTTTTAAATAAAATAAGTTCTGATTGTCTAATGAATCAGTATTAGTGCCATTTAGTTTCCTTGTGTTGATTTTCTATTGACTCACGTTCACTTTCTTCAAGTCTATCGTATCAGCATGAATTTCGCGAACAAAATCAGAACAATGATTAATCATAGATATTTCAACTCGTTTGTAACAGTCTCGGTCTCTACATCAACGAATTTATTACCTTCCACATGATTAAATTTCTTCTAATTGATTGGAGTTCTTAGAAACATTTGTTTTCTCTGTCGAGAAAAAGATTTAGCAGAAACGGATCCTACCAGTGTTGGATCCGTAAGATTATAAATAAGTTTAGAAGAAGCCTTCTATCAACGTGACTTTTACCAAGATAGCTTGTAATTTCTTCATAAAGGGGCCATTGTTTATGACTTACTCACTCTTTTTTGGTGTCAAGTGTGGTTTTCGTGTAGAAAAAAATGCTGCAAATTAAGACTACTTATCTTTGCTGTTTAAAACCAGCATATTTTCACCTGGTTTACTGTAAAATTAAAGAATTTTTTTCGTTTGTTTATTTCAGATCTTATATGGCATCTCTAAATCCAAAAATTCAAGTTATACCACAGGTAAGATTGATAAGAGTTCAGAAGATCGCCTCTCTTCCGTTGAAGCATCCTGCTCGCCTTTTTTCATCAATCAATTGTTTGTGCAGTATTCAAGAGTTACTAAAAAAAAAATAATCAGAAAGAAATGCTATGAATAACTAAGTTAGTAACTTATTTCACTTAAATACGTGCTAAAGTACGCAAAATTGCACGGTCTGAAAGCAGGAGCTCCTATTTTAATCACTTTCAAGTGTCCAATAGCTTTCGTATGTAAATATGCACAAATGGTTCTGAAAATAGTTAATTTAGACAAAGACACTGCTTGTGCATTTACATCAGGGACACTAAGAATCTAAAATTGTCCGCTCGACTGTATCTATGCTTTTTCGTTGGTGTCTTAGGAGTCACTGATTAGAGAAATCGAGCGTTATACAAAATTAAGATCTCTTTCTAAAGCTGAATGGTAAAAGTTATATTCGAATTTTACCCTTGAAGTTTTTCTTTTGGAAATTTAAAACTATATATTATTGATTTTGCATTCGCGCCGTTCTGAAGCTTGTGTTTTATTTGCGTGTACTTCTAGACCGTTTTATTTACTCAATCGATCAATAACAATTTAACTATCAACAGTTTGGGTAACACCACTCAAAACATTCGTCAGTCCACTTCTCAAAATGCCACTCTCGGTACAACTTCTACCCTAATCCCATCATCACCCAATATCGTTCGTATACCGTCTTCATCGACTCAACAACCACAACAAATTCCTTCTGCACTTTGGTCGTCGATTCAAGGCCAACTTCATCAACAGCAGCAGCAGCAACAACAACAACAACAAAATGGTGTTATTCAAACACCTACTCAAATTCAAGCAGTTCAAGTACAAGGAATTCAGAGAAGTATGTCACAGCAACAAATTATCCATCCAAATCATATGATTATCAATAAACAAGTATCCACTTCACCCATCGTACAGTATAATACAATTAAAACAGGTAACTACTTCGAGAAAAATAATTATTTCCACTTATGTATCTGTACTGACTTGTTTCGACTGAAATGCACGTTTGTTTTAACAAAAGTCGATAGAATGTATTGATCTTTTGAAATTTGATTTATAAGGTTTTTTTCTTGTTCGCAATCCACCGTGATAAACTTGGTTTTGCTTATTTTCTAGAGCCTATTCAACATACGTCGAGTGGACTTCAAACTGTTGTTACTCAACGCCCACAAATTGTTGGTACCTCAAATTTAATTCTCGCGCCAAATAATCAACAGCAACAATGGCAGCAGTTATCATCCACTTCTCTTGCATTACCCACCACTCTCCCGTCACCGACAGTAATGACACCTACCGCTCTTATAGCAGCTACAAAACCTCCTCTAGTTATTCAACAGCAGAAACCTCAACAAGTGACATTTACTGAATCCCAAGTAATCGATTTTGTATCTAAATGTCGAACATTTTTAACTACCCTGTTGAAATTAGCGGAAAAACAAGCACCAGATAAATTACCAATGGTTAAACAATGTATACAAGATTTACTAGTAAGTATAAGATACATGCACAAATGTGTACGTTTATTACCGTATTATGTTTTTTCTTTCAAAAGATGTCAGTATTCTTTTGCGTTTGTTCTACCTCAAAATTTTTGGCGATTATTAGCTTTAGTAAGACTTCGTGTTCCTCATACGTCATTTTTCTTAATGTATTTTTCAGCAACCTATGATGATAAAATAATATGTTTATTTGTTTCGTTTCAGGAAGGTACAATTGATCCAGAATCATTTACTGAACGATTACATACATTATACAAGTCGCAACCACACATGTCATTAGTACCATTCTTTAAAGTAGGATCAATGTGTTTCATTTCTTCTTGTCTTCTACCGTTTTATATAGATTTTTTGAAAGAACTAATCCTTTAAATATTTCTCATCATCCTCTTTGTTGTATTGCCAAAAACTTCTTTAGTAAAGATAATGACCATTGTTGACCGAACGTTATGGGACATAGTATGACTTTTTATAGAATTTCCTGCCACATTATTTGAATTTGAATTTTTATTTGTTCTTCTGTACTTATTTTTAAGCAAAAAGAAGGGAGTTTTCGATTTCAATGTAAATTGGGGTTCCGAGTAGTAGAACGTTATTAGTCTGTTACTCTCTTCAATATCTAAACAGCGCTGAAGTTCTATAGAGGTAGAGAAGTATAATAGTATTCCGAAAATAACTAACTTTGTAAACAAATATGAGATAGTTTTAGAGCCAAAGAATCACATGTATTACATCTTTTAGGATTGAGAAAACAATACGTAATCATAATACTGCTTTGAAAATCATAATAAAATTCTTCTGAATTTATTTAAACATTCGAGCTTTCGATCACAACTTAGATCATTTTCAAGAGTGAATGACAAAAGGAAAAGAAGCAGTATATATATAAAAATACATGCAGAGCGAAAGAAGAATTTTGGAAAAATCTAAAATACCAAACAATAACGAAAGAAGAAGAGAGGAAAAAACCATAATAACAGTTCTATGATGATGATGATGATGAACACAGTTTATTATGATTTTCATAGCAGTATTATACTTTATATTTAAAACTTTATTTCCAACTGCTCATTCAAATAATTTTTTCAACGTAATCATAATGATTCACATTATTCTGAAATATAATTGTTTTTTTGGAATTCAACTATTTTTGACAATATTATTCGTTGTTTTTTTTATTTTTCACTCTCTGACGTCAGAATATACTTGCGCAGGAAAAGAAAAATACGAGAAGAGAAAATAGAGGAAACAGAACATAAAAAAAATTGAGTCATCATAAATTTGGGGTTTCTTCCCACTCTTTTTGTCTTTGAGTTTATCTACAACTGAATTTTTGCACTGATGTATAAATGATAGAAAATCATAAAATTGTTTTTATATATGGTGTTTTGCACATATTAATAAGTGTAGAATGGTATGATATTTTTTGACAGTCTAGTATAACTTAGACAACATTCTTCTCAAACCTACCTGTCAACTTCTTGTAGATTGAATACTTCTAATCATGAACTTCTTGGCATAAAAATATCTTTTTTTATACGAAACTGATTTTTTTTTCAAATTAGTACGGGTCGTGATCGTTTGCAATTACATTATTTTTTCTAAATTTCTCGTCTAGGAATATTATTATTTCTACTGTCAGGTATATAAAACACAAAAAAATTATTCTGCTCCGTTTTCTTATCATCGGTTTTAGTTATTGATGAATTTGCTTTCACTTACAGGGAATTTTTCTTTTTGTTTTCTGCACAAAGACATAATTATTTCTTTAATCAGAATTGTCGATTATTTCGTTCAACAATAAAAATATTTCTCATTTTAAAATAATTTAAAATAATTGTCTTGAGAAACTTAACTACAAGTATCAATCGACAACTTTGATTAATTTTCTATTGCATGACAGTCTAAACATCTCTTATCAGTTCACATTACTAATTATTTGTATTTTTATCCCTATATTATAGTTAGCCTTACCTCACATGCGACAAATTGTTAAACAAACTTTTAATAAACCTATTACTATTGAATTATTAGAAAAATTATCTTTACCTACTACATCTTCTACAACGAGTATTACTCAACCAACATCTACGTCAGCCACTATCGTTCAACAACAACCGCAACATGTACAACAATTTCAGAACAATTCAAACACGACAACAACAAATATTATTCAATCATCTCTCAAAACGTTAAATATTAATACTTATCAACAACAACAACAAAATAACAATACGAATCAAATACCAACATCTATTATTGGAACAACATCGCTACTCAATAATAACAATAGGCAGCATGTCGTAAGTAGTTAGTAATTTTATGCAGAGAAGTGAGTTAGATGAGGAGTGCTGTATATAAAGCAGAAAATGCTGGTTCTAATGGCGTTCTGAGTTTTGTCACATTGCTTAGAAGACCCGTTTTTCTGGAAAATCAGTTTTTCAGAAACTCTGGAAAATCAGTTTTTCAGAAACTCTGAAAAACAACCAAAGCCTTTCTTAATGAGCCATGCTTGTAGCCCGCACATTTCTGATTAAAATGAGACCTCTCCCAACTCTATATGATCTTTCTTTGCAAAGTTATAGAATTTAC